GGTCTATTACCAGATGCTTGGTTTTCTTTGTTAGTTCAATATTGCAAATAAGGTTCTTCCAAAGACATTGTAAAGATAGACCGAACATCTCATTCATAAATACTCGTTGGTAGTGTATCAAGCATTCCAATGTGTCAAACAAGGACAGAAGAGACAGAGAAGTCTAAAATTTCCGACCCCGGCAACTAGGCGTATTTGGACTATCCTAATGGCCAGTGGCGTATCATTTTTTGGAACTAATTTAATTAGTAGAGTAAAAGTAAATTAATTAGTAAAATTTATACTCCATATTAATATACTACATTAACGCTTTTTCGTCAGATGAGTTTTGTTATGAGGTCTAATATAATAATATAATTAATATCCCACATATACCTATGTTGAAACGTGAGTAGGTGGTTTTCGAAAATCTATATAAACTTTCAGTTACTTTTGAATATTTACAGGGTCTCAGGCTTCCGAAACAGTTCTATATTCGGTTTGTGGTTGGTGACCTTTCTTTCAATTTTTTTTCAGAATATGGAGGCAATGGTAAAGCACATTTTATACATTTTTGTAAACAAAGGTGGCCGGAACATATTTTCGAACTAAAGTTGTAGATTTGCCATTAAATTTCCATTCCAGAAATACCTAGGGTTGCCACCTGGCCTTTTTTGAAAAGGACATTGGAATAACTTGTCCTTTTGACTTTTTTTTGACTAAAAAAGTCATTTTTATTTTCGTATTTTCCCTGAGGAAATTACCTACAGCAAACAGAAACATTCTTTTCGTCCAAATTTAATTAGAGATGTTATAAAACTTATAAATACATTTTTCTTGTTTAGAATAGGCGACATTATTTAGAACTACCCGTTTAATCTGAAATGATAGTTTAGGTTTTAGTTTTATCTTTTTTGATCTTAAAAAGAACTTCAAAATTAGTAATTAGTAACGATTTAGTTAGTTCGCAATCGATAGCTTCATGTGAAGTACTGTGTAATAGTTGTTTAATCTTGTATTATTAATAACTTCCTATACCTAAAATCAATATTTAATAAGAAAATTGTTTTTTTGCAAATATAAGACAAGATTTGACTTTCGGTCTTCTTCTTGTATTACGGTGGCTCTGATACGAGGCAATTGCCTTTTAGTCTCTCAATAGAAGGCATTTATCATTAAAAGTATCAAATCTGTGTGCTACAGTATGGGATTTCTATCGCATAATAATGAATATTACGTTTCTTGGTAGGGTTTGTATAAATAAACAAAATACAAGAAGCAAAAAATTATTAAGGCCTAACCCCTACATATATGCTTATTCTCCGCATTAAGTTCATCAGAACGAAGGGAACAGCCATTCGACGGCCGGTTTCGGAGATTTATCTCCATCGTCAGGCCGACTTTGCTGTAATCCTCAATCCGACAAACGAAAAGCAGAAAATAGCATTTGAGTACAAAACGTACTACTATGGCGAGTGCTAGACGGCGAGAGCAGCTAGTAGTCATAAGTAAAAAGCTTTTTTGGAGGCCTGGGTCACTATATAGGGTATATAGGTATGTATAAAACTAGTAGCCTAAGAATTATTTAGAGTTCGTCCCATTCTAAAAAAAAGGTAAACACACCGTAGAAATAATTCTAGGAAGAGGTATTTGTACAGTGGTAAAAAATTGTCTAAACAAGGCCGAAGGGGCAGATATAATAAAGCAATAAAATGTAAAAAAGGTCTGGTAACACCTTTGTTTACTTGTTGAGCAAAATTCCTTTAGAATTTCGTATATAATGACCAAAAATGGCACAATTTTAAGAAAAAAATGTCACTTTCTGGCTTATAATTAAATTTCAAATATGCAACGTTTATATTCAAATTTGTTATGATCTAGAACAGTTAGGTAGTAATTGAGACGAATTATTTCAATTACCGGCTACTACGTTCTTGTTTTAATAGATTAATTACAAATATAATTAGAAATTATTTTGATTGTGAGAGGCTCCCTTGTGGGACACCTATGTACAATGACGACGGAAATATAAAGTTCAAAACAATACCCACCTGTGAAAAGACAAATTCGGGTAATTTGAGCTTATTTTTCCACACACTTGACACTGTCGTACCATACTGAATTCGCAGATTCAAAAGTACGTTAAACAAAACCACCGAAAAACACTGAAAAGTTCACTTTCGTCTTGATTCCGACTTCAAACACACCGCAAGCTAAACGTAGTACGCTATAACGGACCAATGGCCGTCTCGAGGGGTGGTGGGACGGACGCACAGACGGACGGCTCATTTCATTCTGGAAGACTAGCAGCGACGTTGCCAATAGTTCTAGACGTTTCAGCACATTAAACAGTAAACATGTCCTTTAATAGTAACGCATATATCCTCTGGTTAATAACATATTATTACGCATGCTTCTTTAAAAATAAACTATTAATTTAATTAAGAAATTGAGATTTATTGATATCCGGTAAAGGTTTTAAAGTCACCTTTTCTGCAAATCAAACTGAGTAGATAGGCGCAAATTTGAGATGTGGCAATGTCGCCTTCTCTATCTCAGTTGATTTTTACAGTACGTAGTCAACCTCCGATTGTTTGATCGGGTTAAAATGTCTAATGTGATATCTGTTCTTACTAAATCTATGGGTTCTTCCTATGAAGTTGAAGGTTGAGTCTCAAACGACTCTTTAATATCTCCGTAACTTACCTTGTTATGTTGTCTTTTAGCAATTTGACCAGATCTTGCAGTATTCTTAGGTTTATGAGATGAAGGAATATTTAATACTGACACAGTGTCAAATTTTAAAGTGCGGCTAATTTTTGGATTGTATTGTAGCAACCTTTGTTTCTTTGGAATTTCGAAGCTATCAGCAAACTGTATGGAGCAGACAAAAGCTAAAATAAATGAACTATATATTTATATATATTTATGTCACAAACATATTGTGTTCTATTTAGAACTATTCACAATGATACTCGATAACTATTGTAAAGAAAAAATTGAGTAGGATAAGGATATGCCTAAATATAATAGTTTAGTTATTATTCAAAGTAGATCTATAAATTAAGTGATGAAAGAAAAAGCGAAAGAAAGATGTAAGCTCACCATTTTTTCGATTTATCTTATCCTCTCGACAGCAAGAAAGGTTTAGCCAAATCTTTTTGGAAATCCGAAATATTTACTGTAGGTGCCTTTCGTTTTCCGATTAGTGTTGTTGAAGTAGCCATCGCACACGCAGGCATTTTAAGCTTTTAAAACAAATTAATTCCTAGCCTAGCCACCTAAAATCAATCGTAAAAGTATATATATATATATATATATATATATATATATATATATATATATATATATATATATATATATATATATATATATATTATAATTACCAAATAAAAGACTAATATAAGAATTAAATTATTTATTAAGATATAAAAAAATAATATTTTCAAATATGTTACAATAAAATGATAATTTTAAATAAACATAATGATAAATAAATGGTACAAGGAAATAAAACAAACATTTGAGATACAAATGTTGCAGTAAAAAACAGTAAAAAATGGAATATCCGCCTTTTTTCATATGAAAAAACCATGACATCAGGGAAAAAGCTTCACGTGCCATATGCTTAACGCACGTTAGGGTCCACGTGGAAACACACAAACATTCAGCACGGCGAAACAACGTGGCCGCATCCGAAACTCCTTCCAAAGAAAACTTTTCAATACATTGACAAATTTTTATCCTGTGTCCATCTTTGAAAAAAAAGTATTATTAGATGTGAATGAATTAGGGTTTCCATACATCCGGATTTGGCATGTTTTAGTTTTTATGGTGTCTGAGGTATTATGCGATTAAACTGTTTCACAAAATTATTTAGTTTTTATGATCAGATTTACCGTACTTTCTTTCAATTTCCGATTGGATTACCCTTAAAATCGATCGGACACCTTAAAAATTAAAAAGAACATTCTTTCTAAGGTTTCCATGTTTAGGTTTTTAAGGTGTTTATTAGGTGCATACCTACCTAATTATAGTAAAATAAAATATATTCCTTAAAGTCTTAAAAAAAATGAAAATTAAAAGGGTTACAAAATATGTATTTCTTCTTTATGTACTAAGCTAATGTATTAATTCCTAGCCTAGCCACCTAAAATCAATCGTACTAAATACTAGAAACTGAATTACGGAAAATACTAATAAAACTCACTATATAAAAACAGCCAAATTACCATAAAACTAGGATAAAAACCGTCCGATCAAATGCAGCTGTCCAGGATTTGATTCGAAGGCGACGTCATGCGCAGATTTGAACCAATTACCCCAATTTGAAACGACAAATAAGCATTCCTTGTTTATTGTATTCTGTGTAATATCTTGTTAAATATCAAAATATCCACAAAAAACCTCCGATAAACAAATACTGCCATAAGAACACAACACAAAAAATGTCAAATTTAGCCTGAAAATGGCGGCCGATCCCACGTGACAAAGACAACCAATAAAAAATAGGACCCTCTATTGTCGCTACTGTCTTGTATAGAGTCACCACTGCAATCAGATAGAGGGTTACAGCAAAGTCGGCCTGACGGGACTGTTCGAAAAAACGATGGATTGTTCGCAAACCAAACCAAACCAAACCAAATGCTAGAAGAGCTAGAAGAATGTCAGACCTGTACTAATAAAAATTACACATAATTAATTGCAGTATGCCATATATGAATTCTCGTATAAGACCATATGAGGAATACATTTTTTTATTTGAAAGTGGAAGACAGACATATTATGAAATAAAATATCTTCTTTAATTAATAAAATATCTTCTTTAATTAATATTATATCTAATGTTGAAATTTTGTACAAAAAATCAACATTAAATAAAGACAATGAAACTTGAAACTAATAGATGTTTTATTTCAGCATATTAATTTGTTGTTTATTGAAATTACTGGGATATATTACCCCATGTCATTTTCCTTAGGAGTGCATATTCCTTTTCAATACTATCCTACAATTGCTTCTTGGTCATGTTGCTCTAAAAACTGAAGAGTGTATATTTGTTTGATGACATATCTTTATGTTAACCCTGATGGTGCTGCAATTTGTTTTAGAACATAGTTCACCTAGAAAATATAATACTGGTTATGTCATTTTTTTTATGTAATTGTGATATGTTTTGATCTGTAATGTGTTCTGTAATGTGAGCTGTTTTCATGACAAATTAAAAATTTATTCCTGTTGGTTTAATATATAAACAAACATAAACATTGAAAATTTGAAATTTTTAGTTTGATAGTTGTTAATGTTGACTAAATATCATATTAAAAGAAAATAACCATCTATTAAGAATACCGATATTTTATATGTACTTCTTGAAAAAATATTATAATCTACGTCCTACATCTAATCTAAGTCCAATGAAAAATATCGAATTTTGGATTGTAGCATTATTTCAGAGAATCATAGTGCGTTGGAACAGATGGTTGTATGAACATCAGCATTTTCTACAATACTAAATATAATAGATTTATTTGGTATTTTAGTATTTGAGATTAATTCTATAAAATTTATTGTTCGTTTTTATAAATGTTGGTTTAATTAATTCACGGTTATTCAGCTCATTAGACACGGAGTAATGTACTGTAGCTAAACGATTAGATTTTTACAAATTGTAAGTTTTGGATTTGTTGTAGAACTATTTATAATTATTTGCAACAAGTACTACAGTGTTCCAAATAAATAAAAATATCAAACACTAGTTAAGTAGATGTAAAAGAGGACTAATTAATATGATCTCAGTATTTGAACTACATATATTAATTGACTATTTGTGTTGATTAATAATTGCTCCAGTACTAAAAAAACTGAATTTTGTATGTGTATTAGACAATGTGGTAAAAGTAACACCTTCTAAATTTTATGTCATTTTTTGATAAATGCTTATTTATAATAACAGAGACGTTCATATTCATAACTTTTTAATATATTGATTTCTGATTCACATCTACCTTTATTTATAATAATTTATTAACTAACACAACTAAATGTGATTAATTAATATTTGGGCGGAAATAATGGTGGTATATTTAATTAATGGTACACTCTTTTGCAAAGATTTAAATAGTTATCTCTTTGTAAACAAATGGGCTAGCAATATTATCGTTTTTAGCATCGGTACAGTCTAAAATGTCAATATTATAAGAAAATGCATTTTCTATGAGAATTTGAAGATATAGGTAAAACGTTATATAATACAATTAAATTGTGCATCTGATTCACGTAAAATATACAGGGTGTTCCATTTAAATTAAACAAGTTATTGCCGTTTAAAGCTAGTAATTATTTAAAATAAATTTTAATATAAAATAAAATTTTTAGACACTCTGTATAAGATAGTATTATTTTTATTATTGCAACACAAAATTTAGAAAACAGAAAAACTTCAGTACAATATTTGGTTTTAAAAACTTAAATTCCCCTAGAGATAAACCTTAATCAAAGTTATCTTTATTTTAATTGGAGAAACTAAAAATTTCATAATATACAGAGTGTTCCATTTAAAAAAATACAACATTGGTATTTTTTATTTATTCTGAACAATCTGTATCTTATAAAAGTACGTTTAAATTGTAGCTCTAATAGTCCTTAAACAAACCCAAAACTTTTATAATTTGGAAAAATTCAAAATATTTGGCTACAATACTCCATGTCGAATGAGGTGAATAACCCTGTATAGCAAGATTACACCTTCGATGGTATTAATCTGAAAGCGCTGTTAGTTCCTAACCTAATTTTTGAGTTTATATTATATTATCCTTTAAATTTATCCCACTATCTACTAGCACTTTTATTTTCCTGTTGGGTATAGACTCATAAGGTAAATAAGTATATAGATATTCTTGTGTGAATTTTCACTATCTTGAAATCACTAAAACAAAGGTAAATTAATAAGTGAATTTTTTCCAATATGTGAAAACCAATATTGAAAGACAAAAAAAAATAGTTTACCAGATAGTCCGTTCTTTATGTTTTACCCTCTCTGATTGTATATTATCTCTCTGATAGTCTTATCAGATCTCTCTGATAGTCTTATCAGAAGTTGCAGTGAGGCTCTTTTACCCTATATTTCAGATTTTGTGACTGACGTTTCCTACAAATATAGGGAATATAGGATGTAAATTATTTTATATTACGCTTTGGGATTACCTATGAATATCGGCAGTTTTTCTACATGATACACAATGATGGTGCTTCAATTATGAAAGAACATGAAGATGATATACCACTTCTTAACCATAAGAAAAGCATGTTTTCCACAAGACAAGTGACAGATTCATCTGTCATACAGCCTTCACCTCGTTTCCCTTTAGTAGTTTTGTTCTGTTTCTATAAAAATATCAGTTCATTCCACTTTAACTGTACCTACAAATTTTACATATTGCTGATCACCTCTATCTGCAACACGATCTTTTTATAAATACTTATAACTAAGAGATTATAAATACATGTGTAAAAGTTAATATAAACAATTACCTATTAAATTAAATATAAAATATAAAAAAATATACGTTAGAATATAACAAATTTATTTTCTAACTATTTTAAAATTGATTAGACCCGATTACTTAAAATTATTTACAAAAGTAGTAATAGGAAATATTTTATTTAAACTAGGATGTAATAAATTAAACAAAATAGTTTATATAAAGAAATAATAGAATATAAGCTTCTTTACTTACAACCATTTTTATGTTTTCTTTTTGAAAGTGAATTTTCTACACTGGTTAGTTCTTTTATAACTTGAAACACTTTTATTTTATTTTAACAGTGAATATTATTATTTTCAGGCCTATCTTCTATACACTTTCATGGTCATATATTTCTCTTGTCTAGCGAAACCTGATTATGCTGCAATGTTCAATTTTGTTATTAGTCCCATTAGAAAATAAAACACTGTATTTATTTTTTTTTTACAAAATTACATAACATGATTTATTGTGCTGATGGAGCTGCAAAATATCAATAAATATTTTGAAATTAAATGTAAGAAACAGACGAAGGCCGATGACGATATATTAGGATATTAAGGAACGAGCTGAGCTTGCAAGACCCACGGTCTTGTTTTCGGAGCGGCATGAAATATGAGTAGACTTTAAGTTTAACTGAAAGTGTTGTTTTAAAAAAAAGTAATAACTTAGATTAGAAAGAGCTCTTTATTATATGTAGATAGAGAGTTAAAAGAAATATTGAAATGAAAAAGAAAAATAAGGATAGTCTTAGTTGAGTCTTAGCAAGATCTGTATCGTCATCGGATCGTGTTAAAAATATAATTGGTTTTAAAAGTGGTCGTTTGAAGTTTTATTGGAGTGTTTTTCTATTAGTGCAGCGGTGGGATAGTACACGTGCTATACTGTGAACGTTTATATACTTTTTGTGATTTGATTAAAACTACAGGGTGTCCCAGAAATAAGTTGGCTGGATTGTGATTTTGTGGTGTGAGAAAGTTTATTTTGGATTATATTTGACATTGTTTAAAGGTAGGAGTAGACTTTAAGCTATTTTAAAATGCCAAGAACGTCTCGCAAACGTCATAGTTCGTCAAGTTCAAGTTCGAGCGACAGTTCTGATTATGGCCGTTATGAAAGGAATCGAAGATCTCGCCGTCAACGAAAAAGGCGCGTTTCACCAACACCTGAATCACATACTCCTCCACGTTCGTCTATGCCGGTTGCTGTTGATACAGATGGCCTAGCCACACCATCAAGTGTACAGTTTTCAGGTTTGGAGGAAGCCAATCAAAAAATTAATCAACTAGAACAACTGGTCAAAGACTTAATGGATACACGGGTAGCTAAAAGCCCTCGTATCACTATAAAATCGGATTGTATTCCTGAGTTCAGCCCAGATATGCCCCATTTGACATCGGCTATGTGGATTGACAAAATCGACCAACTGGCAAAGATTAATGGATGGGATGAGCCAACGATTATATATCACATGCAAGCAAGGCTCTCTGGATTAGCTAAATCCTGGTACAATAGTTTGAACAATTACGACAATTCTTGGAAACAGTGGAAGCAGATGATTTTGGACGCTTTCCCTGAACACCGCGACTTTCCAACAACTTTAAAGAAAATGATTTCGAGGAAAAAATTGAATGAGGAATCTTGGACCGAATATTATTTTGCTAAAAATGAACTTCTTAGATCGTGCAGTATAGTTGAGAAAAATGCTGTTTCCATGATTATCGATGGAATTAGTGACCCTGTAATACAAAATGGTGCCAAAGCTGGGCGATACGAAACTCCAGAAGTTTTATACAAAGAATATTTAGCCGCGTTGGGTCCAGTGGAACGTCCGCAGGTCCCAGTGCGGGAAAAATACAACAAAACGTTTGTTGATAATAGGCATCGTAAACCTGTTTACAAATTTTCAAAACAAAGCTACGGCACCCCTAAAGAAAATCAACACCGTCCAAAATGTTTCAATTGCGGAACTTTAGGGCACATTTCCACTACTTGTTCCAAACCACGTATAGAGTGCAGAAAATGCCATCGTTTGGGACATATGGAAAGAAATTGTTTCAAAAATAAACCTGCGGAACAACCAGGTACTTCAAAACAAGTAATGGCAATGGCCTTACCAGAAAAAACATCAATAAATAAATACGTAGTATCGTGCAAGGTTAATGGACTTATTTGCAGTGGCCTTATAGATACCGGATGTGCTGCTGTAACACTAAGATACACTGAGGCAAAACAATGTGGAGTCCAATGGGAGCCGTGCAATGTGCTCATTAACGGCTATGCTGGAGGACAATCCAAAGCAATTGGCCAATGTTCAATCAAATTAGAAGTTGATTTAGCTGATGCCATAGTGTCTGCATTGATTGTGCCAGATGAGCTTCAAGAGGTAGCTGTGATGATTGGTCAACCGTTCATTAACAAAACAAACGTTGTTTTGGTTGTGAAAGGAGATCAGATTAGACTGTTCAGCTCACAAATGTTGGACCTACCTGAAGTTGATCAGTTACCACCATCAAAAATAAAGATGAGTGTTAGTGAAGATGTGGTTATTCCGCCTAACAATATTGGACATGTAAAGTTTAGTACCGCAAGTGACTATAATGGTGATTTATTTATAGACTTCCACGCACGACAAAAGCCACGTAATGAATACGTAGTGCCGCGATGTGTCGCCTCGACTACAGCTGGTATTTTGCCCATATTAAATATATCCAACAACCCTTTGCAGTTTAAGGTGATGGATACGATAGCAAGAGGACTTCCATGTGTTCCTGAGACCTCACCCAAAGGGGTAAGTGTTCTAAAAGTTAATGTAAAATTATCTAAGCCACTATTAATGTCTGACATCAATTGTGATCTTACCTTGAACGAAACAGAGAAGAAACGTCTTCTCGACCTTCTTAATAAATATCGCGATTGTTTTGCCCAAGACATAAGTGAATTGGGTTGTATACATAATAACAAAATGGAAATCACTTTATCAGATTCAAAACCTGTAACGTATAGGCCATATCGTTTGTCATTCTTAGAAAGGGAAAAAGTGCGCGAAATAATACGAGATTTATTAGATAACCATATAATCCAAGAATCATTTTCCCCATATGCTAGTCCCATTATTTTAGTAAAGAAGAAAACAGGTGAAACAAGAATGTGCGTAGACTATAGGGCATTAAATGCGAAAACAATCAAGGACTGTTACCCCTTACCAAGAATCGAGGACTGTCTGGAACGTTTAAAGGGTAGCAAGTATTTTACAACACTAGATATGGCTTCGGGGTACCATCAAATACCCATGTCCAAAGAATCTATCGCCAAGACAGCATTCGTCACTCCTGATGGACATTACGAATACCTAAGAATGCCTTTTGGGTTAGCCAATGCTCCTGCAGTATTTCAACGCAGTATTAACCAAATTTTAGGCTCATTACGTTTCACAACTGCTTTGGCTTATATGGATGATATTTTGTTGCCATCATCAACCTTTGAAAAGGGATATGAAGCCTTAGAAACAATACTAAAAGTTTTTCAAGATGCAGGAATTACGCTAAGACCAAATAAATGCTATTATTTCAGACGAAACTTAGAATATTTAGGCCATGAGATTTCTTCAGAGGGCATAAGGCCTGGAAAAGCAAAGATTATAGCAGTAGAGAAATTCAGAACACCGAAAAATCCTCACGAAGTACGACAGTTTATAGGGTTAGCTAGTTACTTCCGAAAGTTTGTCAAAAATTTTGCCCAAGTTGCAAGACCTTTAACAATGCTGACAAGAAAAAATCAAGAGTTTAAATGGGGAGATGAACAACAGAAATCATTTCAACAACTTAAACATATTTTATGTACGAGACCAGTATTGACTATTTATGACCCAGAATTAGAAACAGAGCTGCATACAGATGCATCAAAATTGGGAATAGGAGGAATTCTTCTTCAGAAACAAAAGAATGGAAAGTTAACTCCTGTTCAATATTTCAGTCGACAAACCAGCAAAGAAGAGCAACGATACCACTCTTATGAGCTAGAAACATTGGCTGTCGTGAGTTGTCTACAGAGATTCCGAATTTACTTGTTAGGCCTTGAGTTCAAAGTAATTACTGACTGCAGTTCCGTGCGAAGTACTTTTTCAAAGAAGGATTTGATTCCTAGAATAGCACGTTGGTGGTTAGTTACCTTAGAATTTAATTTTAAGGTTGAATATAGGCCAGGTCCTCGAATGTCACACGTTGATGCACTGAGCAGAAACCCTGTGGAAGAGCCAACTAATGAAGAAATGGACATCGATGTTTTTACAATAAGCATCACTGAAGACGATTGGGTATTGTCAGCACAATTGATGGATACTCGTTGTAAATATTTACATCAAGTCTTGTCTGAACATCCAAAAGACAAGGAAGAAGAAGCCATTCATAAAGATTATGTGTTAAAGAATAACCGTATATATAAAATCACGGATGATGGACTAAAATGGATGGTCCCGAAAAATGCACGACATGCCGTTACTGCTTATCATCATGACATGGCTGGACACT